ACCTGGGGCGGCCGGGTGGGTAAGGGGGGCGGGGGGCGGGGTCGGCACATTCGGTGAGCTGCGGCACGGCTGGTGGTCCAGGGACACCTGGCCACAATTGAGAGGGGCGCTCTGGGGCAAGGTGATGGCGGGCTCTGCGAGACCAGCTGATGTGAAACCCCGCCCCTCAAACCCCACGCTGCGCGGCATGGAGGTAGGCGCTGCCGCAGACGCGCCAGGCCACTGATCCCAGCTGCTGCGGCCACACAGCCAAACCGCGCCCACAGGGCAACCCCTGCCGCGTCCCGCCCTGCCCCGCCCCGCAACCGCGGCCCGCCGGCCCTCGCGGCGGCGCTGCTGCCGCTGACGTCACTGTGCCGTCATCGCAACGCTGCCCAAGAAACGCGGGCCCCCAGGCGCTCACGTGTGACCTCGACCTTGGCGCCTGTCTTGTCCTTGATGGACTTCACGTGGGACCCGCCCTTGCCGATGATGCAGGGCCCTATGACAGAGGACAGCACCAGGAAGCGGCTCGACACCTCGGGGCGCGGCCGGACCTGCGGGGGCGCGTTGCAAGGTGGGTGGAGCCGGGGGAGGAGGTGAGGGGGGGCAGAGGGGGGTGCGGGAAGGTGGAGGGAAGCTGGACCGCGGAGTGTGCGGGCGTGTCGAGAGTGGGGGCGGGTGAGATGGGCGGTGCAGAGAGCGCACGCGTGGAAGCTGTGGTGGCAAAGAAGGGCAGGCTGGTGGCATGAGATGGCACGCAACAGGAGCAGGCCACCTGCCAATCAACATGTCATCCCCCCACTCAACGGGGGCCTAGTCCCATCTACAGGATCCGCACTACACCCTGCGAGCCGAAAGCACGCACACAAGCACACATCCACATCCACACACGCATAATTGTGCCGCACGCACGCATGTGTGCTTGCGCGAGCTCACATATACGCTCACTCATACACATGAGCGCGCACGAATGGACACCGTCAATGCTGATGCGCCCACACAAGCCCCTTTCTCCACACACGCGCATACACACTCACACACGCACTCACTTCGCTTGCCCCACCCAGGTATCACCACGCAGGCGTCCTCTCGTGCTGCTTCGCCTGCCATCCACCGCCCCTCAAACCCATCAACACCTCTCCCACAAGTGCTACCCTCCCTGCCAACATCTTGCTGCAGCACACCCGATCACCACCCACGCCCAACGACCAACAGCGCCCACTCACACAGCCCCGTGCGGACGCGCTGCACACTTGAAACGCGAGCCCATGTGTGTGCGAGCAAGCACGCGGCCCCCTACACTCACGTTGGCGCCCTCCCTGCCGGCCTCCTGCGACAGCAGGTCCCGCACCAGCCCCACGCAGCGCGCAACCTGCTCAAACAGACCCTCGATCTCAAGGATCTGCGGGCACGGCCGGGGGTTGTGTGGGTGATTGTTGAACGGTCGGCCAACGCAGAGGGAGCCGAGGGCGCCTCAATTCCTTTCGGCTGGCCCGCAGGGGTCGAGGGCCGACAGGGGGAAGGGTTGAGGAGTAGGGACAAAAGGGGGGGTCACCTGTCTTCGGAACAGCAGCTGCAACGCGGCGGGCGTGGTGCGCCTTTTGAGGGTGCAAAAGTGTTGGGCCGGCCGCCAACCAGAACCGGGCGTTCTAGGTCGACTGGCTGTCCAGGCTTCCAAGCCGGCCGCTGCGGCCCCGGGCAGCCAGCCTGATATCCCGGATGAGCCGGCCTCCGACCCGCCCTGCGGCGCCCCTCATTCCGGCCCACCCAGGCGCAGCGCCACCAGCCAACTTAAGGGGGCGCCCGTCGGCGCGCCGCAGCCCCAACGGCCCAATCTCACACCCGCTCCCGCACCCCCAAACCCCGACCACCACCACCCCCACCCCTGCCCGCTCCCTGTCGACCCGCCGCGCCGCCCGTGCCCGCGCCCACGCAGGCGCCGCCCACCTGCAGGGGGTTGTCCTTCTCTGTGACCACCACGTGCAGCTTGGCCCCGCTCTCGCGCCGCAGCCGCCCGGCCGTCGCGCCGCGCACGCCCAGCACGATCGACGCGAGCTTGCGGGGCAGGTCGATCTCCTGCGGAGGTTTAGGTGTAAGGGGGGTTGCGGTTTTGAGGAGATCCGGAGGTTGGAGATCGGAGGAATTCTAGAGGGCACCAGGGTGGTGCAGGCCGGGGCGCTCGGGCTGGCTGGAGAGCTCACTGGCCGCCTAAAAGCCGGCCAACCGGCGCGCGCCTCAGCAGACCGAGCCGGGGGGGGGGGGCGCTGCTGCTGCTGTGCTCGCGGCTGGCGCTCCATGCAGGGGCGTGGGCGTGGGCGCAGGCGCGCGCGGAGTCGCAGGTGAGGGCGAGGGCGCACCTGCTTGATGGGTGCGTCTGGCGGCAGCCGCATCTCCCCTGGCCCCAGGTTGGCGCCGGCCGGGCCATGCTGAGAACCAGGGTAAGGGTGGTCGCCGCCGCCGCCGCCGCCGGGACCCCCGCGCCCGCGG